TGTCTGAGGTGGGCACTTATGTTCATGAATCATATTGAGGTACTGATTTATTTTAATAGAGAACTGTAAGTGAAATAAAGTTACATTTTGTGAAACCACGTGCAGCTCCACTGGCCCCTAGGGAAGATTTTTTGCCTTGGCTTGGTCCATGCGCATGCACGCACCCCTACGGCTGGACTGGGGGCTTAGGAAATTTAATGTGTTTTTGCCTGTATTTGTTTAAATATTAGCAGAGATTTTCATCTAAGCATGTGAGCTTTAGGAGAAAAAACCTTAATGAGCTTCATAAATAAAATTATAACAACTGCTGACATGCTTCCAAGCATAGGCTAGGTTGGTAATGGTAGCACCAAGTCTCGATCTCTTTATTATCTTACTGTCTTGGCATGACTGTGTATGTCTCACTCCATAGTTAAATTTTTTTTTCTAGTAATTAAATAGCGTTTTATTAGGCTATATCTTCTTTATTGCAGTTCTGATTTGAGACACTGAAAATATGACCTAGATTGCAATTACTAGGAATTGTTTACCGTCTTGATCAAGAGTGAGTAATTGAGGTTAATACAATTTAACATCTTCAGAGCAACTAGAAACAAAATTCTCATTAATGACAATAATATACCGTGCCTCGTTATGTTTTTTGCCAGGGCCAGTGGGTTAATAATGCCCAAGATGGTTCCTTGAAAACAGCACTTTCTTGGCTTGAGTATTTTAGAAACGTAGTGTTTGTCACGTAGTTTGGTAGATACCGAACTTGATCTAAGGCTCACGGAATTCCTTTAGTGTAGATTATTATTATTATGGCTCAACGCTAGTGTTGCTTAGCTTATTTTTATGCCAGTGCAGTAACACGGTTGTTTTGCAGATTGCAATGACAAGCAGAAAAGTTAGGCAGTTGCAACGTAGGGGTTTTCTTCTTGATGGAGCTCCTTATGGCTTGTGCAGGCGCGTGTCTCCTGCTGCCAATTATTCCGCTATGTTTTCTTGTTCTTTCTGCAGCCTGGAACAGATCAACTTGATTTTTTTTTTTTTTAAAGATCATGTTTGCCCTTTATTAAAAATTCTTTGGCAATGGGTTATACAGAATCAAGGAGATTGCTTTGTCACCATCCATCTCTCCGCTCTGCCCCTGGTGGTACTGAGAGCCATTAGCGTTAATTATTTAGAGGTCCTCGTTTTGCACAGGGAGAGGGTGATCAATGTGCAAGGCTCAGGAAATGGTTATGTACCCCCAGACTGCGGTGCTTTACCCCTTGCTTTGCAGGAGTCTGTGCTCTTTGATGATACCTTTTAGTTTGTATTCAGCACAGCGTAAGCAGCACTATTTAGAAAGCTGGGGTGTTTTTCCTGTTCATTTTGTTTAGTTTTTGCTGTGCTGGAACATTTTCTCTGTAAATGCTAACTCTGACACAGCCTGCAATGTTTCTTTTCTTGCATTTTTATGCATCTCCTGCCAATTTCCAGCTCTTGTGCATTCTGTGCTGCAGGCCATGTAGTGCTGGAACCTCACAGGTGGCCTTTTCACCAAGGCTCCCCTGTGGCTACCTGGCTGCTGGATCCAGGCAGTTCTTGGATGTCCTGCTTGGAAGTGAGATGCAGTTGTGAGAAACAAAGATCTAGGGATAGTTGTTCTGTCTCTTCAGATGCAAAGAAACCCAATAAAGTGTTGAGCAGGAGCCACAGGCATTGCAAGCAATGAACGAGATCGTGCCTCTAGGTCCTTGCCTGGCTCTTTAGGCACCTTTACTCTGCAGATAGATTGGGCAGACACATGCGGAATTGCTCCAGCTTCACCTGGAATACCTTTGAAATGCACTTTGTTTGTGGTGCAGGCACAAGTTGCTGCGCTAGCTGCCCTTCATGTCAAACTGACCTGTTCCAATGGGTTGGCTGGACTCATGCAACCCAGGGAGAGAGGTGTTCTTGAGACCCAACCTCTGACCATTTTGCTTCTCTATCTGCCACTAACATGTCACTATGGAGCTAGACTTGATATGTCTGGTGTCCGTTTAGGTAATTTTGGAGCATGTGTGGTTTTCTGTGGACTGTCCTGAGCTCAGCCAGGCTGTACTATGGATTTGTAGTTGCTTATTGCATTCTGGACATGCTTGGTGAAATGCAGTTTGTTACGTGTTATGGTTTTCCCATATGACTTTGGTTGCAAAAGACAGCAGATTTGGGAAAATATTCCTGTAAAATACATGGTAGAAAGAGCAGTTCTTGGGTGAATTCCAGTCCCACCTTCTTCCACAGTCCCATCATAGGTAGCATCAGCGCACTAGCAGCTCCCTAGCACCAGAAGGCTCACTCTAGAAGGCTGCAGAATTAAAACATGCCCAGGAATATGCAGTGAACTGGATTGTGGCCTTAATTCACGGCCATAACGCAGTGCCACACAATAGAAATACTGCTGATGAGCAAAGGCATTACGAGTACTGAAGTCATGGTGCAAAACTTGCTTAATGATTTGCATTTTTCCCCCCTATGTTACAAAACATAGTTGAGCAGATGGATGCAGCCAGCTGTACATAGAGCTTTAGGGAGTACTGAGGGGAAAAAAAGAGAGGGGTTTTTAAGATAAATGTAATAATCTCCGTGATAATTAGTTTAATTTAGATCCCTGCATCTGACTCATTTTTGACTAACCTTGTACGAAGCCTTTCTTGCCTCTCTGACGAGTCAGTGGATTTGGTTTGATTGCGGTCTCCGGTTTTGTGCTTGCGGATTGCTCACTGATCGCTGGCATTTTTCATTAGACAGTTGCTTTATCGCATTGTTATTTAGAGGGGGAGTAATTTGTGTTTTCTAATTAATTTAATTCCAGTCACATTTTGTAAGTAGCTACAATGAGCCCATTCAAGGGGTTTTAGGTCATATTGACATTGCATGGCAGATGCGCGGGTTTGTTTTGAAACACGCTGTTAACTCTGTGATGACAAGAGCCCATTTGGTCGTGTGCCTGCCGCAAGTGGGAATTTGCACCTGCAAAAAAAAAACAAAACAAAAAGCAAAAAAACACCCTCAAATTGGAAGATGCATTTTAAGTGCTGCAGCAAGATGTCTGTATGGATTAAATCACAAAGGAAATACACTGGAAAGAGAAAAAAGAGTGAAAATAAAAGCTGGAGCAGTGGCATTCTCACATTTCAGGCGGTTATTCCCCTGGCTGTAGGTTTGTCCCATGAAAGCCTCTCAACTTTTGTGAACATGTCACTGATTTTGGTTTAAAAAAGCAATTACTGCTAGTTCTGCAGCAAACTCTGGCACGAAGCAACAACGTTGTGCGATGCAGTGGTCCGCGAGGGACCTCACGAGCAGTGGCCTCGGGTGTGTTTTCCATTATTTTCCAGCCCCTTTCCATCTCTTTTGGGTTAGAGCAACTGAAATTAATGACAAACATTGACGAAGAGCTTTGTTCACTAGCTCATACTTAATACGTTTTAACGTTTAATGATTGCAATGCCATGAACTAAATTCCGGTACGCTCTGGCCAACAAGCCAGCTTCACATTGCTGCAAAGCCTCTCCTGGCTCCTGTCGTGCTTTCTACCGAGGGTGTGTGCGTGCCTGCGTGCGTCTCCGCTCTACCTATTGATTTAATAGGAAAGAGCATCCCTTGGAAAGGAAGAGTGAGCATGTGTGCGCATGCATGCGGAAGGAGCGCGCGCGAGGGACTGTCTCGCTGCACGTTTGCCTTTATGATAAATGGGGCCTGTTAAAAAGGCGACTTGCCACGAATGTTATTAGTGCTGCACTCGGTTGGGGTGCTGCATAAAAGCCACGGCCAGCAGCAGAAACGCTGGAGTCCGAGTGGGTTTGGTGTTTTGTCATCCCCACATTAGGGGTTTCCAGCTGGGTCCATGGAGCAGGCAGAGATTTGAATGTTATTTGTCATCTTTGCCTGTGGTTCTTGCATGTTCAAAGGGAGCATCACCTTAAAACGTGCTCCTTCCTTGCAGGATTCGCGAAGCAGCTTCCCGTAGTCCCTGGGTAAATGTGAGACAGGGGCATGGCTTTGAACATAAACAAAATGCATAAAGTGGAAAAACATCATGTGGCGTAAATGCCCCGTAAATCAGCATCCCAGCTACAAAAGCAGATTTCAAGAGTCTGAATTACTGGGCACTTAGTGTGGAGGAGAAATCTGTGCCGGGGGTTTGATGCTAGTTTCCCAGCGGTGCAAATGTGGGGTCCCCCTCTCCTTGTGGCATGGAAGCTGCTCCACGCTGCAAAACCGCCTTGAGAAACCTTCCCCTGCACGCGCACTGGCTCCTTCCCTTGCGTCCCCTGGAGCCAGAATGAAAATGCCCCTTTTCTGCACTGCCTCAGCACCCCAAGAGCATCGGCAGGGCTTTGCTTTCGAGCCGCGTGCTCCTGCAATGCCAGCTCGCAGCTGCGAGCTCCGGCTCCGCACGTTTGCACCGAGGCACCGGCACTTGCAGGAGGGAAAGGTGCATTTCCTCAGCCGGATTCGCGCTGGTGGGGTCAGGTCTGCCCCACTGTGTGGCTCTGCCTTCTTTCCCCTTCCCAAGCCTCCGGGAGGCAGTGAGACAAAGCTGCCTTTATTTTCTTTCTTTTATTTTTTTTTCTTCTTCTAAAAACCCTTTTCTCGCAAAAATATCCCTTTTTAAAAACCCAACCTGTTCCCCCCAGCGCTGCTCCCATTGGTCCGGGGAGGCTGACAAGCTGCCCGCGTCAGGAGGAAATATCCTGCCCTTAATTGCCGGCTAAGTCGCCCCTAATCCGGGGGGGAACGTCCCCCCCGAGCCCCCTCTCCTCCCCTGCCGGCGCGCGCTCGCGCCGCTGATTCGACATGAGCAGATGGGTAACTCTGCCGCGCGAGCGAAACCTGGCATAACTCTGCAGATGGCTGCGTTCGGATGATGCACCTAGGGATCGATTTCCTCCTCTCTTTTTTTTATTTATTTTTCTTCATTTATTTTTAAGGCACGCTGACGCGTAGACGCTAATGCTTCTTTTTCCCTTGTTGCCGTTTTGCAGGACTGCCGGCCCCGAAGAAGAGCCCCAAGTCGGTAAGCACTTTTCCGCTACTCTGTGTGTGCGTGTGTCTGGTTCGGAGGAGCAGGGCATGAGCTCGGGAGGTCGAGGGCTCCGCGGCGCCTCGCGGTGTGCGGCTGGCGGGGATGTAAGGGATGCAGCGCGGGGAGGGAGCTCCCTTGCAAGGAAAGCCCCAGATTTGCGGAGACGGATGAGCTGGTTAACCCAGCAAAAAAAAAAAAAAGCAGAAGAAAAAGGGGGAAAAAAAAAAGGCTTTTGTTTCCTTTTGGAAAATGGGAGGCTCCACCTTCCTGCTGCCAGGAGCAGTTCTGGCTGTGTGTGCGTGGGCACCAGCCTTTTCTATTAGCACCCTGAGTTTGCTGCGGTACTCAGAGCTGAATCCTTACCTTCCACGGCAAAGCTGGAGCACGATTTGTGCCTGGCCGCAGCTCCGTGGGAGCACGGATTACTGCTCACTGCTCTGGAGGCGCTTCCTTAGCGAGCAGAATTATCCTGCAGGTGTGCGAGCCTTTATTTGGGGGAAAAGAAAAGCAAATCAGTTTTTTCCTGTCCCTTCTGATCTTATTTCCGCGTGCAGCTGTTCCTCGGATGACATGTGAGCTAATCACTTGGGAGCCGTCATCTGAAGTGTCATTAAGGCTCTGCACACGCTGTCGTGGGCAGGAATTAGCGTGCTATTTATACGCAGCAAAAAGAAGCGCTTTATTTTTAAAGGAAATGAAATATTTAGGGCTTGAAAGTTTCCGGAGGCTGGATGAGAGGGCGGCAGAGGGGGAGACCGCTCGGGAGAGGAGCGAGCGAGGGCTCGTGGCGGCAGGAGGCAGCTCCGCAGCGCCCGGGAAGGCCGGCGCCACGGCGGTTACCGTGGGCGCGCTGGCTCG